TGAACTCTGGGCCTGAGCGCTGTCCCTCAGCTCTTCAGCTCAAGGCTAGCGCTCTACCACTTGAGCCACAGCACCACCTCTGGCTTTTTCTTTTTGTTTATGTGGTGCTGAAGAATCAAACCCAGGGCCTCAGGCATGTAAGGCAAGCGCTCTACCACTGAGCCACCTTCCCAGCCCTGGAAGTCTTAATTTTATAACATTGCTTCTCAGGAAATAGGGTTCACAGTTTCAGTAATCATTTTGAAAAATGCTATGACTGATCTATTTAGCGTTGGATTTTTGCATGCTCTTCTCTGTATGATTAGTAACACAAAATTGAATTTTGAACAAATTATAACAGTATTATGTTTATTTTTGCATGATCTCCATGTCAAAGTGACATCAGCTTCAAGGCTACTTTACATTATAATTGCCTTCTAAAAATCTGTAGGGGGGGGAAGGGAGGAGGGAAATGGGAAGGGATAGCAAGGGGAAACAAAGGAGGAGGCAATAATGCTTGATAAGAAATGTACTCATCATCTTTCCCATGTAATTGTAACTCCTCTGTACAGTATTTTCACAATAAAAAAATCTGTACATACACTTGATTGTTATGTTAGTCACACATGTGGGGATTTCATTATTACATCTTCATAGATAATTCCACTATATATTCCAGTTTCGCTCCTCTTATCACTTTCCCTGTTTCTTCAATATCAACCCCACCATAATTTTTTTATTGTGAAAATACTGTACATAGGGGTTATAATTACATGGGCAAGATAATGAGTACATTTCTTATCAAGCATTGTAGCCTCCTCCTTTGTTTCCCCTCCCACCATAATTTTTGTGTGTGGTAGAGTTTTTATTATCAGGGAATTCAAATTACACTTGAAGATGGAAAGTGCAGACTCTGCAATAGGCCTATACAAGTTTGCTAGTAATTTTAATCTGTTTTTCTTAGTTTCTTCTCTTAAATGTAACTGGCACATCTGTAGTGCCTACTCTTCTCATTTCTTACCTACTGAACCTTCTCAGTTTTTCCTTAGCTTATAAAAAGAATTCTCTTTTGGAAGAATATCTTGCTTTTGTTTTGTTTTTGTTTGTTGTGGAGCTTGAACTCTGGGCCTGGGGCACTGTCGCTGAGCTGTTCAGCTCAAGGCTAGCACCCGTGCTACTTTGGTTTTCTGTGGTTAATTGGAGATAAGAGTCTCATGGACTTTCCTGCCCGGGCTGGCTTTGAACTGCAATCTCGGATCTCAGCCTCCTGAATAGCTAGGCATATAGGTGTGAGCCACCGGTGCCCGGCTGGAAGAATATCTTTAGAACTAGAAAAAGTAAATTTAGGGGCTAGGAAGGTGGCTCAGTGGTAGAGTGCTTGTTTGCATGCATGAGGCCCTGGGCTCGATTCCTCAGCACCACATAAGCAAAAAGAAAAAAGCAGGAAGTGGTGCTGTGGCTCAAGTGGTAGAATGCTAGCTTTGAGCTGAAGAGCTATAAGGGACAGCACCCAGGCCCAGAATTCAGGCCCATGACCAAAAAATAAATAAATAAATTTAGGAGCTGGGAAGGTGGCTCAGTGGTAGAGTGCTTGCCTTGCATGCGTGAGGCCCTGGGTTCAATTCCTCAGCACCACATAAGCAGAAAAAGCCAGAAGTGGCACTGTGGCTCAAGTGGTAGATTGCTAGCCTTGAGCTAAAGAGCTGAGGGACAGCGCCCAGGCCCGGAGCTCAGGCCCCATGACTGGCCCCCCCAAAAAAAAAAAAAGTAAATTTAAAACCAAATTTGAAATCATCTTTGATACTAGTTGGATGATTTAAGGAATTAAATTTTAGCAGTAATTGAACTTAATATATATTTCTGAATGTAATAACTATTCTTCCAAATTTGTCTAATATTTACTATTTTCTAAACTTACCTAGTATTACCTGGGTGGGTATGTGTAGCCTGAAGATTCTAGGGTATCATCTCATACCTGGTAAATCTTTATGGTTAGAAATCTGGACTTTTGAAAAGTCATTTAGGTATGTTAATGAATCAAGTTTCAGGATTACAATTACTGAATTCACTATAGATATTCTTAATTAAATTTAACATTCTATAAAACTATTAAATTGCTAATGATTTAGCTTTCATAATTTGAGGTTTGGTTTACAGTACTCAGATGATTCTCACAAGTTTATTGTGGATTAATTACTGAAACATGAACATGATAATGCTCAGGATAAAGATTATTGAAAGAAAATATTGATTATTTAAAAATTATTAATCTAGACTATCTTTGCAATAATGTTTCTAATCAAGGTTATTGTGCATCTACAACTAGTACTGTGAATTATGCTATATTTCCTGAATGATACAATAGTAAACTTTTCCTATGCCATTAGGTTAGTGTTTTATATTATTAGCAAGCATTTCTGCTCAAGGCCAATAAACTTTACTATAATTGATTAGTTATGAAAACTTTAAGAATCTAAAAAGAAATCCATATTACTTATGGAAATATAATTTAATATCAGATATGTATTTGAAAATTTTCTTTATGAACTAATACCTTTTATTTTAGTTCTTTCTAATCCAGCTGCCATCAACAAGCTCCTCTTTTTACCATCCTGTTTATTATTAAAATACATTATTGAAAACAAAATATACTATTATTGTTGATGGTTTACATAGGAGCTATGTTAAAAAAATAATGACTCATATTATTTAGGATTTTCTCATTTAGTAGTCATTTTATTTTATTTATTTATTTTTTTTTTTGGTCCAGTCGTGGGGCCTGAACTCTGGGCCTGGGCGCTGTCCCTCAGCTCTTCAGCTCAAGGCTAGCGCTCTACCACTTGAGCCACAGCGCCACTTCTGGCTTTTTTCTTTTTGCTTATGTGATGCTGAGGAATCGAACCCAGGGCCTCAGGCATGCAAGGCAAGTGCTCTACCACTGAGCCACCTTCCCAGCCCTAGTAGTCATTTTATAGTTACACTAGGTACAAAATATTATTATAAGATGATCAATTTACACATTTAAATCCAGATCAATTTTCTTGTTATCTATTGGGCATACAATATAACAATAAAACTTTGCTTTAATTAAACATTTAAGTCAGCTTTGAGCTGAATTGCTGAGGAACAGCATTCAGGCCCAGAGTTCAAGCTCCATGACTGACAAAAAAATAATAATAATAATACATTGGCATTTTTGAGTGCTAGGCACTGTGCTAAGCCTTTATGTACATTTTTCTTAATTTAATCCAGATGACTCTTGTGAAAAAGATTCTACTTTTATCCTTAGGTTCTCTCAGTAGTTTAAGTGGCAGGGCTATAACTTAAAGCCAGGGAAGCAAATGCTACGTTCTTAATCACTATATAATGTACAACCACCAGCCAGATAGTATAACACATTACATGGAAGTAGGGGGGAAAAAAGGAAGGAATGAAGAAATCAGGCCTCTAAGACTATAGTTTTAAATCCTGGATTAAAACTTTTTCAAGTTAAAAGTATCATTTAAACTTTAAATTCTTTTGTTTATCAGCCTATTTTCCAGCTTTGTCTGGAACTCCCTATGTAACCCAAGCTGGCCTCCAACTCTCCATCCTTCTGCCTGAGTGCTGGGATAACAGGTGTGTGCCACTAGACCTGGCTTAAACATATATTTAATTATCTTTCCAAACATTACATTTTCTATTGCATTGAAATTTTAAAGCCTATTTTAAGAAATGCTATACTGTAATTTATGATTTTTATCCATTAGATAAAAAAGCACAATATAGAATTGAATAAAGCTTTAAAATTACTATCACATTATATCTTTAAATATATTAACCTTTTTACAAGGTTAGAAAGATAGATTTGGAGGGTAGATGTGTACCTATTACATAATGTTATCTAAATTATTCAAATATTTATTTTATTTTATAGAGATTATAACATCCAATGTAAGCATAATTGGTCAACGTATGAACTATGGGTTTGGATGTGGTGATTTTGAAGATGATAGGTCACATGACATTTCATCTAGTGCTTTAAAAATACAAAATAAGGAATACCCAAGACATTATAAGCATAAAAAAGGTTAGTAAATTTCATGACAGATTAATTTTTAAGATTTAATATCTCTTTAAGTTAGACTCTTCCCTAATTTAATTGTGCCAATAAAGAAAAGGTAGTAGAAGTCTCAGATTTGAAAATTTTCAACTTACCTTCTGTTGTGCTGTTAATTTTAGGGAACAGGAGAATTCTTGGGTTTGTGTGTTAGTTTAGGCAGGCAATGAAAAAGACTGGCCATGAGTCAAAACTGGGAATCCCTACTGACTTCTATCCCAAGGACATGCACAAAAGCTCAAGATTTCTTTAAAAAGAAGACATTTCACCACTAAAATGGAATTGAGGCAATCATATCATAGCTGCACTTTAAATTTTTCTGTTAGGGAAAAACAAAATGATTTATGACATTTTGTGTGTGTGTGGGTGTGTGTGTGTGTTGTTGTTGTTGTTGTTGTTATTCTTTGTTTTCTTGAGTTGGTGATGAAACCTAGACCCTTGCCCATGTTCTGAGTAAGTACTCTACCACTGAGCTAAAAAGAAGTGATTTTTGAAGTGCACAAATAGATAACTAAATATACTAAATAGAAATTCCAAAATCAGTAAGAGTTGTTTTATGTGGGTTGTATGTGTGTGGGGGTATGGTTGTGGCAACTGTGGTAATCAAAAGCTAATAACTTTCTGGCCCAGTATGGTGGATTAGGTGGATTGTACCTATAATCTCAGCACTTGGAAGGCAAAAGCAATAGTACTACAAGACAGTTCACTAAGTAGCTACTTTGCAAGACTCCATCTTGAGAAGAAAAGAAAAATCAACTTTTATATTTTTTTATTCTTGGTTATCTTAACTCATGCCAGTAAGGCATGTTAGGATATGGATTTTTCTTTTTTTGTATAAGTTACCCAACTTGATGATGGGGCTTTTACTTTTTTTTTTATTTGTAAATTTCTTAAAACTTAATCTGTGATATAATTTAGTATGTGTTCTGTGAGGCAGCAATAAGTTGATCACATAAATGAAAAAATGAATATTCACTTATTTTCTTCCTCATGTAATAAAAATCAAAGCTAGGTGCTGGTAGCTCATGCCTGTAATCCTAGCGACATAGGAGGTTGAGATCTGAGGATCAGGGTTCAAAGCCACCCAGGGAGGAAAGTCCATGAGACTCTTAGGGCCAGTTAACCACCAGAAACTGGAAGTGGCTGTGGCTTAAAGTGGTGGAGTACTAGCTAACCTTGAACAAAAGAGCTCAGGAACAGTCAGTTCCCAGGCCCCAAGTTCAAGCCCCATTACCGACCCCGGCCCCTCCCTTCTCCCCCCCAAAATCAAGGACAATAGTATTTTTCTTAAGTAATCCGTATACTAATAGTTAAATAGGTTCCTTTGCTGCTAGGAGCATCCATTTTGGATAGCAGACTCCATATTTGCAACCTTGTTTTTGTTGTTTTTTTTTGTTTGATTTGTTTTGAGATAATGCCCAAGTTGGCCTTATTCTCCATCCTTCAGCCTCTCAGTGGATGTTGGGCATGTGTACATCTCTTGATTAGCATTTAATTGTACTCCAGAAAATTACTTTACCATCAGAATTTCCAATTGTCAACCAAATGCCTACTAGCTCTATCTCAGCAACAAGAGCAGCAAACATTCAAAACCAACCTTACTTTTCTTTCCAGAACTGCTAGCATTACTATTTTCTTTTTCTTTTTCTTTTTTGGGTCCGGTCTTGGGGCCTGAACTCTGGGCCTGGGCACTGTCCCTCGGCTCTTCAGCTCAAGGCTACCACTCTACCACCTGAGCCATAGCACCACTTCCGGCTTTTTTTCTTTTTGCTTATGTGGTGCTGGGCAATCGAACCCAGGGCCTCATGCATGCAATGCAAGCGCTCTACCACTGAGCTACCTTCTCAGCCCCAGCATTGCTATTTTCATAGTTATAATTCTATAACTTCTTTTTTTTTTTCTTGTCAGTCGTGGGGCTTGAACTCTTGGCCTGGGCACTGTACCTCAGCTCTTCAGCTCAAGGCTAGCATTCTACCACTTGAGCTCACCACTTCCAGTTTTTGAATGATTTATTCACAATAAGAGCCTCACGGACTTTCCTGCCCGGGCTGGCTTTAAAACACAAGCTCAGATCTCAGCCTCTTGAGTAGCTAGGATTACAGGCATGAGCCACCGGCGCCAGGCTTCCATAACTTTTTTTTTTTTGTCCTCTTTTTTCCTGTTGTCTAAGTTTAGGCAGTGGTCCATCTTACCAGTTGTAACTCTTTGTGATTTGGGCCTTCATTTACCCTTTCTCAAAACTTTGCTACATGATTTTTTTCCTCCATTTTTTGCCCTTAATATATGTTCTAGTTAGCTATACACTTTTTTTTTCCTGTGTGCTGGATCTAAGGCTTGAATTTAGGGCCTAGTCACTGTTCCCTGAGCTTTTGTGCTGAAGGCAGTGTGCTTCAGCTTGAATCCTCAGTTCTACTTCTGGCTTTTTGATGGCTAATTAGAGATAAGAGCCACACAGCTTTTTCCTGCTCAGGATGACCCATGGTCCTTAGATCTCAGCCTCCTGAGTAGCTAGGATTATAGATGTGAACTACCAACACCCAGCTCTTACTATACTTTTTTTGGGGGGAGGGGGGTGTACTGGTCCTGGGGATTGAACTTGGCCTGGACACCGTCCTTGAGCTTTTGTGCTCAAAGCTAGCTCTCTACCATTTGAGTCACAGCTCCATTTCTGTCTCTTTTGGTAGGTAATGGGAAGTAAGAGCCTTATAGACTTTGCTGGACTGGTTTTGAACTGTAATCCTCAGACCTCATCCTGACAAATAGCTAGGATTACAGGTGTGAGATACCAGCACATGGCCATATTGTACTTTCTTAAAGAAACAGTACTAATGTCTTTATATTTTTAGTATGCTTTTTGTAGGATTTCACTCAAATGACTATGAAAAAAATGGAATGATGATTATCCAATGAAAACTAAAAGTGTAATCTTGGGTGTATTCATTCAAAACGTGTGAGACATGATCAAAGTACCCTGTACTCATGAAAATGCCATAATGAAACCCAGTATTTTGAGGGCTGAAGGCATTGGCTCAAGTGGTAGGGTATCTGCCTAATAGATTCAAACCTGTGTTCAAACCCAATACAACCAAACAATGAAAACCCCCACTATTTGTAGATTTAATATACTACTAATAAAAGATAACTATAACTACAAAAATATCCTCAAATAGATTAAAGTGAATAATAAGTGAAATGCTAAACAGAAGTGAAAGACTCTCAAAAAGAAATATTGGCATTGTGTGCCAAATGGGTTCATTTTGTAACATCTCAGTATTTTTTTAAATTAGTTTTCAGTACCATCCCCTTCCTAGCCTCTCTTGGCTTCTTTGAACCTGCTCATTTTGTACATAATATCATAGAGCCTAATTAATGACTTGAAAAGGTGAGTAAAAATGAATGGTTGGAGTGTTAATAATCATAAATTAGTTTTTCTGTATTTGAATGAATTAGTAATATCAGGATATTTGTATATTTAAATATTTACACATTTAAATATTTAAACATTTTTCTATTAGCACTGATACAATGAGCAATAAATGAAGTTTACTTTTCTAATTAGTCATCTCTTGATAGCACATGTGTAGATTTTGTTTGTGGACTATTCAGCAGATGTTTTCATTTACTGAGATTTGACATCCCTTTGCCATAGAATATTTTTGGGGACAGTGTAGTGCTTCTATTAGTGAATGCTAAAAGAGTACATACTATTGTTGATTATTCCAAATTATACTGAAGAAATATGAAGTAACTATCTACATGTGTTTTTGTTTTTATTTTTGTTTTTGGGTCCGGTCGTGGGGCCTGGGCGCTGTCCCTCAGATCTTCAGCTCAAGGCTAGCACTCTACCACTTGAGCCACAGCACTACTTCCGGCATTTTTCTTTTTGCTTATGTGGTGCTGAGGAATCGAACCCAGGGCCTCATGCATGCAAGGCAAGCGCTCTACCACTGAACTACCTTCCCAGTCCTGTGTTTTTGTTTTTTATGTTGTCTTTGTTTTTTGCTTTAATGTCTTCTATGTCACACAAAGCCAGAATATCCGTCTTACAGGTTAACAAATCAATCTACTTAATTTTTTAAAGTCAGTTTATTAAAGTTTTAAAAAGCAGTAAGCTACTTTTTTCATAGCCATAAATTATATTTTGTGGGCTGGGAAGGTGGCTCAGTGGTAGAGTGTTTGTCTCGCATGCATGATTTGATTCCTAGCACCACAAAAGCAGAAAAAGCTGGAAGTGGTGCTGTGGCTCAAGTGGTAGAGCACTAGCCTTGAGCTGAAGAGCTGAGGGACAGTGCCCAGGCCCAGAATTCAAGCCCCACAACTGACAAAAAATATATATATAAATAAAAATTAAAATTATATTTTGTTTTTAACTTTTCTGCTTTGATACATCTAACATGTATTTTTTTTGAAAAGTTATTCTGTGCCAAATGCTGCACTAGTTCTGGAAAAAAATGTCAAAACTAGAGCAAAATCTCATCCTATATGGATCTTACTGCCTAGTAGAAAAGTGAATAAATAGTGAGAAACTGAGATGAAGTTAATCTAGCTAAGTACAGATTGCTGTGAGTTTGACTTGCACTGTTTTTGGATGTCAAATTATTTCCTTCATGATTACCTTTTGTGCTCTGATTATCATTCTATATTTCTTCTTTTATCCTATTATATGTAAACTCCTTTAAGGGAAGAAAACTTCTGTTCTCTTTAGTACCTGTTGTATGGTTGATTTCTAATTACAAATACTTATTGAGTTAATTGGCACATGTGATTAAATTATAAGCTCTTTGTATGAACTAATTCTTTAATTTTAAAAGACTATTATAATACCCTAAAATACTTGCAATAAGTAAACATTTTTAAATGTGGAGTTTCTTTTTCTTTTAGGATTTGCAAAATCATCAAATTTACAACAGATTTCCAGTTTTGACTTCACATCTACAAATACTTTATCAGAGGACTCTGTAGTTGTTGTTGGAAAAGGTATTTCAAAGTCATTAACTTTTAAGTCCTATATGTTCTTTTTACATATAAGTAAAGCTTGTTTTTAAGTTGAAAAAATTAGAAGAGAATACTTATGTTTGCATTTCTATCCTCTAACAGAACAAAAGATGTATTATGTGACAGAGATAGTTGAGGTACTTCTAAGATAATTTGAGTAGTTTAAATTCAAAAGGTAGTTTTTACTTATCAGCTTTAATAATTAATATAGCAATATGGAATTTATTATCTCCCATAAAAAGACAAATCAGAATGAACTCTAGGTACATATAGATGGGGATAAGGAAACTTTTGAACACCATAATTGCATATCTCTTTTTAAATTAAATTTTTACTGTAGAATTATTTTGTGGTATACTTTGAAACATGCATCTTTTTTTAAAATAGAGTAGAATAAAATTTTTGGGAATTGTTTCCAGCTTCTTGATAAACCCATTAGGTTAATTTAATATTCTATCCTCATTAGCTCATATCTTTTTGTTTTTTCTTTTTTGCCAGTCCTAGGGCTTGAACTCAGAGCCAGGGCACTGTCCCTGAGCTTCTTTTGCTCAAGGCTGGTACTCTACCACAGCACCAATTCTGGCTTTTTCTGTTTATATGGTACTGAGGAATCAAACCCAGGGTTTCATGCATGCAAGGCAAGCACTCTACCACTAAGATACATTCCCAGCCTGGCTCATATCTTTTGCTCTTTTTCTACTCTTCTGTTAGCCTTATATCCAGTAGTAACATTTTACACTTGTTTAACTCTGCACATAAATATCCTAACCTTATAGCATTTCCTCTTTCCTGCTTTGTCCATCCAAATCCATTATGTCTTTTAGTTCCTACTCGAATCTGTGTTCCTTGAAATGATTGTAAACATCCAATTCACACAAGCATTCCTATGAATTTTTCTATGGTCATGGTGTAGTTCCTACTCTTTTTTATTTATTAGGGTATCTATTTTATAATTACCTAAGTTGTTGTTCTTATAAAATTGATTGCTTCTTTAATATAAGAGCATTGTTTTAAAGTCTCCACAATAGCATCACATAAACACTTAATGACTATATGATGATTGGTTCATTGCAGGTGTATTTGGAAGTTCAAATTCAGCACCAGTAACTTGCAACCAACCTGTGATACCTCCTGCAGAAAATGGGGATACGTTTTCAGTTAAACCAAGTATTGATCCACCAACAGGGGTTTATGGAAGAGCAGTTCAACACAGTATTCCATCATATCTTGATGTTGAAAATGACAAAAATGTAAGGTTACTCACTAATCACTTGTAAAAATTTAAGTCAAGCCAGGCGCTGGTGGCTCACGCCTGTAATCCTCGCTACTCAGGAGGCTGAGATTTGAGGATCACGGTTCAAAGCCAGCCCGGGCAGGAAAGACTGTGAGACTCCTCTCTCCAATAAACAACCAGAAAACGGGAAGTGGCGCTGTAGCTCAAGTGGTAGAGCACTCGCGTTGAGCTGAAGAGCTGAGGGACAGCGCCCAGGCCCAGAGTTCAAGCCCCCCGACCGACCAAAAAAAAAAAAAAGTCAATAATATGTTAGATAATGAGGTATTAAGAGTATTTTGATTAAAAATTTTAAATTTGATCAGACAAAATATATTATGCTTTTAATCCCAACACTTTCAAGGTTGAAGCAGGAAGAATACAAGGCTAGCCTGTTCTAAATAGCACAACTGTGTATCAAACACTGCTTTCCCCCCAATAAATTTTTAAACAAATCTTCCCAATGTAATTGTAATGTCTTATTATTAATCATTTGAATAGTAGATTATTCTCCTTTCCCACTAAATAAATTTGTAAAGTATATTATATAGTGATATAGAGTGACCTATGTCACTATATAGTAAACTATGTTACTATATAGTGAACTATGTAACTATATCACTATAGTGTGTAATATACTTTTTATATGTTTATGTGTATATATTAAACAGTTTTCTAGTATATCTTCATGTCATCGCAGGCTGATATCCTCGGGTAATGATTTCATTTCCTGTTAGATTTTAGGATTCTAAAAAAGTTTTGTTTTGTATAGTTTTGTGTGTGTGTGTCTGTGTGTGTGTGGGCTTAAACTTGGGGCTTGGGAACTGTCCCATAGCATCATGCTCAAAGTTGGCACTCTGTCATTTAAGCTCCACTTCCAGCTTTTTGATGGCTAATTGGAGGTAAGAGTCTTACCTCCTGGCCAGCTGGCTTCAAATCTTCAAATCTCTATCCTCAGATTTCATCCTCCTGGGATAGGATTATAGTGTAAGCCATTGGTGCTTAGATATTTAATGTACACATGTACAGTTATCTGAGATGGAAATACTTTATATGTCAAACATCTTGAATACTTTTTGGATATTTCAACTTTTTCATGCAGACTAAAGTTTCTATTTCAAAATCTACTTATGAAAAGATGAGACAAAAAAGAAAAGAAGAAAAAGATCTTTTTGATGTTAAAGACTATGAAAAGAAAGAGCAGAATCCATGGGATCGAATGAAACATACTGAGAAAATGACATCAGAAAGTAAGTAGGACTGGATTTTTGGTGTTTTTTTTGGTTTAGTAGTATTCTAAAAATAGAGTAATATGATTGCTTTTTCACTCAAGAGGTAGACCACTCACCTTGAGCTGAAGAGCTCAGGGACAGCAGCTAGACCCAGAGTTCAAGCCCTATGACAGACAAAAAAAAAAACAAAACAGGCTATTTTGACTTATAAACTAGAATTTGCAAAACTCAGTAACTCTATTATAAATATTGATTTTTCTCTCATAAAGTATTGATTTTCTCATTCTGTCATGCTCTTGCGGCTTTATCTTGAACATTCTAGGACAGTGACTGTTTCCCTTTTATCCAAGACAGCACTTTACATCTGATAAACACTTAGCAAATATCAGATTATGGAAGAAATATTGCTCTGTACACAATCTTAGGATGTGTAAGGGATTATTAACACTCAGCCAATAGAGAAAATCAACTAGAGTTTTATATAGGTGCCATGTACTCTCATATTGTAATTCTCAGTTACTGTAAAAATACTGTACAGAGGAGTTACAATTACATGAGCAAGGTATACCTACACATTTTTACAAAATAGGATCATATTTCTTTCTTTTGCTCCTTTTCTTGGTGGTAGAGGGGGTTGTTTATTAGAATCTCACAAATTTTCCTGCCTGGGCAGGCTTTGAACCACTATCCTCAGATCCTGATGATACTCAGCCTCCTCAGTAGCTATGATAGGCAGCACCTAGCTTGATTTTGCTCTTTTTGAGGTACTTACATATTTATATTAGATGGAATATATAATTTTGAATATAAATTGTATGGTTGTGAATATCTTTGATTTGGGTATTCCCTGAAGAATAAACTAGTACTGCCACTTTCTCTAAGAAATAGTAATAGCACCAGTAGTTGGAATTGCATTTGTATTCTTTTATTTCATTTATTCATATTTTTGTCGGTCAGGGGGCTTGAATTCTGGGTTTGAGTGCTGTCCTTCAGCTCTTCAGCTCAAACTGAGCACTCTACCACTTGAGCCACTTCCATTTTTCTATTGGTTTATTGGCTTTGAACTGTGATCCTCAGATCTCAGCCTCCTGAGTAGCTAGGATTACAGGCGCAAGCCACCGGTGCCCAGCTTATTTTATTTAAATTTAATTTTATTGTCAAGGTGATGTGTACATAGGGTTTACAGTTACATATGTAAGGTAGTAAGTACATTTCTTGTCAAACATGGTTACCTCCTCCCTCGTTTTTTTCCCAGTGGCATTTGTATTCTTTATGTCAAGGTTCTCTCATTCTTTATTTAATATATTTTGTTTTAGGTGAAGCATCTACTGGAGTCATTCCACAGTACAAAGAAAGGATAACTTCCATCACGCACAGTCCAGAAATAATAGATTCCTTGGAACTACGGCCATTTTCCAAACCAGAAATAGCACTAACAGAAGCTTTAAGGCTATTAGCTGATGAAGATTGGTAAGTTAACCACCCTTAACTTAAAGCTAAATTCATTAAAAAAAAAATTTTTTTAGGGTGCTCGGAAGGTGGCTCAGTGGTAGAATGCTTGCTTTGCATGCATGAGGCCTTGGGTTCAATTCCTCAGCACCACATGAGCAGAAAAAGCCAGAAGTGGCACTGTGGCTTAAGTGGTAGAATGCTATACCCTTGAGCTGAAAAGCTGAGGGACAGTACCCAGGGCCAGAATTCAGGCCCCACAACTGACAAAAATAAATAAATATTTTTTTTTTTTTTTGGGTCCGGTCATGGGGCCTGAACTCTAGGCCTGGGCACTCTGTCCCTCAGCTCTTCAGCTCAAGGCTAGTGCTCTACCACTTGAGCCACAACGCCACTTCCGGCTTTTTTCTTTTTGCTTATGTGGTACTGAGGAATTGAACCCAGGGCCTCATGCTTGCAAGGCAAGCGCTCTACCACTGAGCCACCTTCCCAGCCCTAATTTTTTAGTTAAAAACCTTGAAACATATTTCCTATTAATAAGGTCTTATAAAAAGGATTATTGGGGCTGGGAAAGTGGCTCAATGGTAGAACACTTGCATTGCATGCATGAGGCCGTGGGTTCGATTCCTCAGCACCACATAAGCAAAAAGAAAAAAGCCGGAAGTGGTGCTGTGGCTCAAGTGGTAGAGCGCTAGCCTTGAGCTGAAGAGCTGAGGGACAGCGCCCAGGCCCAGAGTTCAGGCCCCACAACCGGACCCCCAAAAAACAAAAAACAAAAAGGATTATTTTTAGCTATTAGGCCTCTTGAGTCTTTTGAACTTATTAATGTAGATGAACTCTGGCCTAAATATTAGAAGTTATATTACACTTACATGTGATAAGGTCATTATTCTTTATATAGACAAAAGATCTGAATTATATGCCACGAATTATGAAAACCTTTGTTATTAGGATACAAATCTCACTTAAATCTACAAATAATGACAGGATTTGTAATAGACATTTCTATATCAATAGGAAAAATTAACTAGAATTTTGCGTGGAGATGTCATATACCTTCATTTTTTAGTTGTCAGTTGTATAATAAAACAGGTATATCTACATATTTTTACAAAACAAGAAAACTTTCTAAAAGTATTTTTCTGGAAATGTAACCTATAATTTCCTAGAAATGCCTCTCTTTCTATTACTGTAGCAGCCGCCTAGCCCGTTCCTTCAGTAACTAAGGGGTGGCAAAAAAACGTAGCAACATTTATCCTACCTCTTTCAGCTGGAACAGCCACTGGCTACCTTTGTCTCAATTTCTTCCCTATTTCTATCTCTCATAGTACATCATTGCAGATATCTCTTAGCTCGGTCTCAATTTTCTCTCTGTATTCTTGGGCCATCTGCTGTTTTTTCTCAGCACCTTCCGTTTTTTGCTCAATACTTGAAACGACTCTCCAAGATGACCTACGGGCTCCTACAACATTTTTGTAAGCAACTGAGAGAAGATTCCTTTCCTCATTAGATAATTCACCTCCTTGCTCAGTTACAGACTTCATGCAGGCTGCCATGTCATCATATCGCTCAGCCTGCTCGGCCAGTTTGGCCTTCTGCACCAGCTCATTTTTATCCATGACTGGATGTTCTGTGTCCCGAGTGGGCGGCGGAGGACGGACGGGGGTTCCCCATGAGACTCTTATCTCCAATTAACCACCAGAAAACCAGAAGTGGCACTGTGGCTACTGTGGCACTGTGAGTGGTAGAGCACTCACCTTGAGCTGAAGAGCTCAAGGACAGTGTCCAGGCCCAGAGTTCAAGCCAACAAAAAAACAACAAAACCACACCAATATAATCAGACTTCGCATACAATAGCTAAGAGAATCCAGATGTTTTCAGTAAACTGAATTTGCCTGGCAGAATGCTGACAAATTCCCACCCACTTACCCTCTTGCAGTGAAAAACAAAATTCAAAACAAATCATAGAGCTAGAATTTTGATATCTGAAATATTTTAAAGTAGGTTTTTCCATAGGACAACTGTCTTAGCTCTGCCTTATATGATCTCCAGGTTTATCTTTTCATAGATAATGGTTTGCTAAGACTTGCTGCCTCTTCCTCAGATGGAGGGAAAGTATGGCTCACATTTTATCCATCGTCCCCAGACCATACTGTTCTTTTTCACAGAACCCTGCCCTTGAAGAGTGGCTAAAATTCGTATTCCTTATCAGCCCAGGCAAACTCCTGCAGGGTTTTGTTTGGGGCCCCCACCCCCATTCCCCAATTCTTACACCAAGCCACTGCGATCCTAGGGTCCAGATAATTTGAGTTTGGAGGTTCCCAAGGCAATTTGTGTATTCTCCTCCTGATCTGTGGCCTAAATTCTAGCTTCATCAACTGTTCCTCTAGTCTCTCTATAGCCTTCTTCTTTTATTCTACTACCTTCTTGGTCTTTGCATCTTTCTAGACTTTGGCATCAGCTCTTGCACTTCTCAGGTCTCTGAGATCTGCTAGCTGGTCTTTCTTGGCAATCTTAGACTGCAAGTTCATCCTAGACTTTTCAGAAGGTTTTGGTGGTGCCCTCCACTGGTTACAAAGAATTGCAGCAGCTCGATTGGTACAGAATCTTTGCTGGGGTCTGGGAAGGTGGCCCAATGGTAGAGCACTTGCCTTACATGCATGAGGCCCTGGGTTCGATTCCTCAGCACCACATATGCAAAAAGAAAAAAAGCCGGAAGTGGTGCTCTGGCTCAAGTGGTAGAGCACTAGCCTTGAGCTGAAGAGCTGAGGGACAGCGCCCAGGCCCAGAGTTCAAGCCCCACGACAGGACCCAAAACAAAAACAAAAAAAACAGAATCTTTGCTGGATGTTTGCATCTGGGGCTGTCAGTTGTTTTAGCTGCTGTTGTAATGTGATGGAGGCATTGTATGTGCAGAATACTTTAGCCATCAAGCCTTCCTTGAGATCCTGAAGATGTTTATTTAGAATACCAGTATTGAGTCTATCAAAAAAATCATCCTCTGGCTGCTTGTCCTCCATAAATGCAACTTGTCTTTTTGCTCTATTGACAATGTTCCTTGAAACCTACAACTTTTTATTTTTTCATGCTATGTATTTTCATTGTTCTCTTTTCCTTCTTTCTCTGTCTTCTTTTGGGTTATTTGCATACTATTATTCTGTATTTATTAATTTTATCTTTTTTGGACATTATGTTCTTATTCTAGGGTATATAATATATATCTTTGATTTCTCATTTCAGCTTCAAATATAATCTTACCACTTCACATTAACTTTATTTAAGAATAGTAGACTTAAAGTAGTATTTACTATTCTTACTACTCTAGCTGCATCCAGTAAGAGTATGCATAAGTATGTTACCAACTCCTTAATATATTGTTCTAATTTTTTCTTGTGACAAGTTATTTATCTTATTTTTTGCAGTGCTAGTGGTGAAACCTGGGGACTTGCTTATAGGAAACAAGCTGTTGCGAGAAAAAATTAAAATTTGCTACATTCTTACTATTTCCATTGTTCTTATGCCTTTTTGTAAGTCTGAATTTCATCTGGTTTCATTGTATAATTTCTTTTTCCCACAGGGAGAAGAAAATTGAGGGACTAAATTTTATTAGATGTTTAGCTGCTTTTCATTCTGAAATATTGAACACAAAGTTGCATGAAACAAGTTTTGCAGTAGTTCAAGAGGTAAACTTACTTTTCAGACAATTTAAGGATTTTTTTAAAAAACAGATGGGATGGGCTGGGAAGGTGGCTCAGTGGTAGAGTGTTTGCCTTGCATGCATGAGGCCCTGGGTTCGATTCCTCAGCACCACATAAACAGAAAAAGCTGGAAGTGGCACTGTGGCTCCAGTGGTAGAGCGCTAGCCTTGAGCTGAAGAGCTGAGGGACAGCGCCCAGACCCAGAGTTCAGGCCCCATGACTGGCAAAAAAATAAATAAATAAATAAAATAAATAAAAAACAGATGGGTATTTCCTTTATTTTACACAGCTCTGTATTATGTAATGTCAGTATACTTACTTGTATGCAAAGTAGCCCAGGTCTTCTTTTGTGACAATTAAAACAATATTAGATGTTGATTTTTTAGGATGTAAGATAATATACAATCAAATATATTTCTTTAATATTAAAACTTACTTCAAACTCATAATTACCAATTTTCTTGCAGAATATCAACAAAATACGTTTTGAAAATTTTCTTTTAGGTGAAAAATTTACGCTCTGGAGTTTCTCGTGCTGCTGTGGTCTGTTTAAGTGATCTTTTCACTTACCTAAAAAAGAATATGGATCAAGAACTAGATACCACAGTTAAAGTTTTGTTACACAAAGCTGGAGAATCAAACACCTTCATAAGAGAAGATGTTGACAAGGCATTAAGAGCTATGGTTAATAATGTAACTCCTGCACGTGCAGTCATCTCTCTTATCAATGGAGGACAAAGGTAATGTTCACAATAATCTTGAAATACCCTTAAACTAAAAAAGGGACCTGATTGCAGTTGTAAATTTGTGGAAGTTGGGGATGAGAGGTTGTTTCAGATTAATTTCAGTCAAAAAAATTCTTTAATAATTCTTACTTGATAAAGATATTGTTATTCTAATGCTATTTACATTTATGGATCTAGAGCTAAGTAAATGTTCAGACTGAGTTCTGTTTTTCACTTCTTGGTGTTGGATAGTTAATAGAATAATTTACCATCTCTCCCAGAGTGACTTACAAGGAGCTGTTTAATCATGAAACTTTAGAAAAATCTTTGGAAAATACTTCATATACCAACTTTAAATGGTCATGTCCCCTTGTAGCCATTTACACATTGCAGTACGAAGATGTACAGCCCAGCATTTATCAGATGTGGTAGAATTTATGGAACCTGAACGAATTTTATCTGGAACAAAGGATATGGCTGAACGTTTATTACCAGCTGCTGCTAAATTTGCTCAAGATAGCTCACAAGAAACCAGGTAAATAAATATTAAAAATATTTGTGGTCTGTGAATATAAAAGTTTAGAAACAGAAATAACAATTAGAAGGAAATGAACATTTTTCTAAGTGGGATCCCAAGGAATGTTACTGGGTAATAGTCTTATTTACCAATTTGTAAATGGTCTTGAAGGACTAGACAGTGAATTCCCCAAACACTACTGGGTAGTGAGACATCAGAAGTCACAAAGGATGAATTTCATGAAAGGATACAAGACTCTATGAGTTGGCCCAAAGTGATAGAAGTGCCTCATTGTGGGCAAACGTAAGGTAATACATTTGGGGGTGTTGAAATATGATATTTTTCCAAGCTATTGTATATTTTAAAAAAGCATAAGAAAGTAGGTTCTCTAGCATTTAGAACTTCACGAATTTTTGATAGTTATAACTATAAGAACAAATGTATGAAGGTTCATAACAAACAGCAAAATAGGCAGGGTACCAGTGGTTCATGCCTGTAATCCTAGCTACTTAAGAGTCTGAGACCTGAGGATCAAAGTTCAAAGCCAGCCAAGAGACTCATGTCCAGTTGATCACCAAAAAGCCAGAAATGGAGTTGTTGGGTTTTTTTTCCCCTTGAGCAAAAAAGTCAGGGACAGCACCCAAGCCCTGAGTTCTTGTACCAGTACTGGCACAAAAAAAAAAAGCAAATTAGTATGTGTTACCATAATTCTTATAATGACAGAAATTTTAGATTTAGTCAGAGACCTGGGTTAAATTCCTAGTCTTCTAGACTGTCATTAAGCACATGACTTAAATTTTATTGATCTGTTTCCCTGTCTGTAAAATTAGGAAGGTTGGACCATATAATCAATAATATCTAATATAGCTACTGGTCAACAATGGCTCACGCCTGTAATCCTAGCTACTGAGGAGACTGAGATCTGAAGATCGTGATTTGAAGCCAGCTTAGGCACTTATCTCCAGTTAACCACTCAAAAACCGAAGTGGCACTGTGGCTCAGTGGTAGAATGCCAGCCTTGAGCACAAAGAAGCTAAGGGAAAGTGCATAGGCCCTAAGCCCCACGACCAGCTGAAAATAAATCTAATACAAAATGTAAAAATTTTTATGCTTCATACACACACACACACACACACACACACACACACCTCTATCTCTCTGTCTGTCTCTGTCTCTCTGTCTCTCTCTCTCTCTATATATATATATGAAGCACTAATATATGAAGATAATTCTTTTTTTTGGTTGGTCATGGGGCTTGAACTCTGGACCTGGGCGCTGACTGTGAGCTCTTCAGCTCAAGGCCACAGCACCACTTCCAGTTTTTTGGTAGTTTATTGGAGATAAGAGTCTCATGGACTTTCCTGCCTGGGCTAGCTTTGAACCGTGATACTCAGATTTCAGCCTCCCGAGTAGTTAGGATTGCAGGCATGAGCCACCAGCGCCTAGCTGAAGATAATTTAAAGAAAGGAGAAAGGATTCTGAGTTTATAGATTGAAGACAACTATAAAGCTTTTCATGTTTTAAGACAATGGTATCTATTACTTTAGGTAGCTATAGTTACTCTTGTGGGAGACTCATTATATCAAAAACAAATAGAATAAGTACATTCTCTACTGCTTATAAGAAATCACCACAAATGTACTCACTGAAGGCAAAAAATTATTTAGCTTATAGTTCATTAGGTCAGACATCTGACATGACTCAACTGAGTTCCCTGCTTTTTAAGATCAAAATCAAGATCGTGTAAGGGCAGAGAATGGGAGAATTTCTTTCTAAGCTTATGCAAACCCTTGGCTATTTCATTCAGTTGTAAGATGAAGGTTCTTGTTCACTTGCTGGCTGTCAGTGAAGGTCACTTATATTGTTTCTCATGCTTCATTCCCATCTTTAAGCTAGCACATTACGTTGAGTTACCTTCATGTATATAATCTCTCTGACTTTTGTAACTAGCCATAGAAAGCTTTGTGTTTTTAAAGACATTCGATTAGATGCATCTGGGTGTGATAGATCATTACATTCACAAATTCTAGGGCTTCATCTTTGGGGATGTGTTTAAGACATCAGTGTTCAAAAAATCAGACTCATCAAGCATGGCCATACATGTCTATGATCGCAGTACTTAGGGAGAGGCAGGAGGATTGTGTGTTCAAGGGTGACTTACTCTATATAGCAAGTTCCAGATCAGACTAGGCTACATAGCTAGACTGTATCTCAAAAACAAAACAAAAAAAGTTATAGTTTCCAATATACTGTCATGTGGGTATCCTTGTTGCAATGGCGAGGCCAGGAAGGGAAAGGGACAACAGCAAGGAAGGGAAAGGGTAACAGTGTGACAAGTAATGTAGTCATTGCCTTACTCATGTAACTGTAACCCCGCTGTACAACATCTTAACATTAAATTAAAAAACAAAATTCAAGAGCATTAGATCATCCACTAGCAAAAAAAAAGATTCTTAATAGTTGTTTTATGTGCATATTTATTAACCTTTTTTTCTCTCTTTTAATTCTTCTTTCTGTTCCCATACTGAGTATCAAACCCATGTGTTTGTCTCCCAAGTAGAGTTTTATATTTTGCGACCTATTGTTGGCTTGGTTTAGCCATTCCCGTACTGTTGAGCTCTATAGTAAACCCACAATCCTTAATATTCTTGGCTAAAAATTAGAATTGTACTTAAAACCTTGACTGCTCAGGAGTTACTTACCTGAATAGCTATAGAAGTTACCCCAGTTGTGAGGAGAGCTGGTATTTGTCTTCTGAAATTGACAGCCTTTCTATAGCTTCATTACATTTGAAGGGATCTGGTTACAATAAGTGACTATATCTGCTTTCTTGAGAGCCCATCTTCTCATTCTGATCCTATAGATTCCAGTTTTGTTGGTGGTGGTTGAGGGGATAACTCAGGGCCTGGGCACTGTCCTTTAGCCTCTTGGTACACAAGGCTAGCACTCTACTACTTGAGCCACAGCACCACTTATGACCCTTTTAGGTAGTTTATTGGAGATAAGAGTCTCACAGACTTTCCTACCTGGGCTGGCTTCAAACTGACGTCCTTAGATCTTAGCCTCCTAAGTACTTAGGATTACAGGTATGAGCCACCAGAGCCCAGCTTCATAGATTCCTGGTTTTTGTTTTTTGTGTTTTGTTTCACTGTCAAGGTGATGTACTGAGAGGTTACAGTTACATAAGTGAGGAAATAAGTACATTTCCTGTCAAACTTGTTACCCCTTCCCTAATTTTTCTCCCACTTTCTTTCCCTTCCCTCCCCAACTTGTACAGATCATTTCCAACATATTGTCTTGGGTTTTTTTTGTTGTTGTTTTTTTTTGGTTTTTTTTGGGTCCGGTCGTGGGGCCTGAACTCTGGGCCTGGGCATTGTCCCTCAGCTCTTCAGCTCAAGGCTAGTGCTCTACCACTTGAGCCACAGCGCCACTTCTGGCTTTTTTCTTTTTGCTTATGTGGTGCTGGGAATCGAACCCAGGGCCTCAGGCATGCAAGGCAAGCGCTCTACCACTGAGCCACCTTCCCAGCCCCCAACATATTGTCTTGTGTATGTTGTTATTGCATTGGTTCCCCCAATTTTTAAGCAAAGGTGTAACTGCAGTTTAGTTTAGAGAAAGTCCTCCTTGGAAGTGGCACTGTGGCTCAAGTGGTAGAGTACTACCCTTGAGCTGAAGAGCTCAGGGACAGTTTCCAGGCCCAGAGTTCAAGCCCCACAGCTGACAAAAAAAAAAAAAAAAAGATTGTAGAGAAAGTCCTCCTTGAAGAATAATAAGGTGGAATTGTGGATTACCAAATCAGACATGTCTATCCTAAAATATCTTCAATATACACTCCCATATTTTCTTTTTTGTTGGTGTTGGTTTGTGGGCCCTAACTAAGCTTTTGTGCTCAAGATTAGTGCTCTGCCCCTTTGAGCCACAGCTCCATTTCTGGTTTTCTGGTGTTTAATTGGAGATAAGAGTCTCATGGACTTTCCTGCCCAGATTGGCTTTGAACCATGGTCCTCAGAGTAGATCCTGAGTAGCTAGGATTATAGGTTTGAGTCACCAGCCCCTGGCTCACTTCCATATGATCTAAATTTCTACCATTTCAGTAATACTTTGGGTTTAAGTGTACCCTAAGAGAATTATTCTTGAGTCTAAATAAAACAAAAGCACCAACTTTAGAAATTATTTCATAATTAAATAACATATGAACCATAGTTTATCATCTAACCTTTGATGTAAATTTAAGTAGCTAGAAGAGAATAGGATTTTGAAGAATTAGGATCCAAGTAAGTTTCGACTAGTATAGAAGAAAAAGATGAAGGGGAGGGGTTCATAAATAAACGACATAGGGATGGTTAAGTCAGGCTAGAACACCTGGACAATAGCCGTGCAGCAAAAGTCCAGTAAGTAAGGAGCCAAGAATGATGATAAATGCCTAACTCATAATTGTGCCAAATGCTGGTGTGCTAGTTAAGCCTTTCTGCTCTCCATTTGACATATGGCTGAAGAGGGCAAGTAGGAGAGCAAGAGAATCCTACATTTTCTAGTGCATTTAGTATAACCACATTTCAGTGACATAAACTAGGGATTGTAATCTTGATGTTTAGTTTCTATTTCATTTTGTTTTCTATTTTATTTTCAGTTCATTTCCTACTAGAAAAAAATGTATCTAAGGACAAAACTGAGTTTGTTAATATATGTGAGATCCTTTACATGTTTCTTAAATATCCATAGGTATTATGGTCGGAAGATGCTTTTCCTCATGATGTGTCATCCTCACTTTGAAAAATTGCTTGAAAAGTATGTCCCATCTAAAGACTTGCCATATATGAAGGAGTCTGTTAAAAACTTGCGGCAAAAGGTATGCTGATAACATTTATTTTACAAACAACTTGAAAAAACAAAGTTTATTTTCTAATTAAGATAAAGAGAAGAAATAATTGTAGCTTGGATTTATTTATTTTTTTGCTAATCATTTGAAATAGATCATATTATTTCATGGATCTACCGCACCAAGTCCACAGACACAATGTTAGGCTTCAAATTAAATGTTTATTGTGTATGAACGCACACCTAAGGTAAAGTAGCATGTCATTTGGTCTTTTGGAATTGTAAGATATGGGTTTGAATGTCAACTCTGATGCAGTGGTGTTTACCATACCTAGTCTCTACTTTGGTTTACTTTGTCTCTTTTATCATGAGAACTCAGAACATTTATAGGAAGCTCCTTGAAGATAGGCATTTTGTGTTGCTTTTGTGGTTAATAAAGGTTCAGTAATAGGTATGAAGTGAGAGGCTTAAAGAACAGCCAGTGAAAAATAACCCTTTAACATCTTTGATTTTTGAAAAATGTGTTTAACTTAATGTAGAATTTTTCTCTTGTAATTTTTTTTTTTTGGGTCCGGTTGTGGGGCCTGAACTCTGGGCCTGGTCGCTGTCCCTCAGCTCTTCAGCTCAAGGCTAGCGCTCTACCACTTGAGCCACAGCGCCACTTCTGGCTTTTTTCATTTTGCTTATGTGGTGCTGAGGAATCGAACCCAGGGCCTCAGGCATGCAAGGCAAGCGCTCTACCACTGAGCCATCTTCCCAGCCCTCTCTTGTAATTTATGTCACTTCTTTTTTTTCTTTTTCTTTTTTTGTGGGGAGAGGAGGTAGTCCTGGGGCTTGAATGCAGGTCCTGGGCACTGCTGCTAAGCTTCTTTTGCCCAAGGCTAGCACTTTATGACTTGAGCCACAGCGCCACTTCCAGCTTTTTCTGTTTATGTGGTACTGAGGAATCAAACTGAGGGCTTCATGCATACTAGGCAAGCACTCTACCACTAAGTCCCATTCTCAGCCCCTTGTCATTTTTTTTTGAATGACCTTGGGCTAAGGATTCATTTATGAAAGTATAATATTAGGAAGATGTATGGTTATAGATGTTTTTGAAATTTTTCTGACTTTTGATCTTGTTTTAAGTACTTTAATATACTACTTAAAACTAACTACTTCAAGAACAGTGCCAGTGACTAACATTTATGATCCTAGCTACTCAAGTGGCTAAGACTTGAGGATCTCAGTTAAAAGCCAGCCTGGGTAGGAAAGCCCATGAGACTTTTATCTCCAATTAACCAGTAAAAAGTCAGAAGTGGAATTGTGGCTCAAGTGGTAGAATGCTAGCCATGAGCAAAAAAACTCAAGGACAGTGTGCAAGTTTTAGTTCAAGCTGCAGGATTAAGCACACACACACATACAAAAAGTAACTCTCCAAATGTTTATTCTCATATTCCTAATATTACATAGAAATGAATTTCCATTAAAGTATGTCCATGTTTTTGTGGATTCTAAATTTTAACAAGAATAGTTGTGGGGCTGGAGTGTAGATCAGTGCTAATGTGCTTGTGTAGCATGTGAAGGTTGCATGGGTTTCATCTAGAAGAGAAAGAAAAAAATATCCTTTAATGATTATTAAAAGCTTAATCTGTTATTTTTAACTGCTTTGAAAATTACTATTGTGTAAGCTTTTAACTATTTTTTGAAGACTTTTCATATACTGCCTGTCTTTATAGGGTTTGGGAGACTTACCACTAGATACTCCATCAGCAAAAGGAAGAAGATCTCATACAGGCAGTGTTGGAAACACAAGATCTTCATCTGTTTCTAGAGAGTCTTTCAATTCAGCTGAAAGGTAAGATCATTTGGTAGTCCATACTATTAGAGAAATTAATACCTAGTTATAGTAATCTCAGTTGATTGTTTTTAAAGTTTAAGGACTAGAAAATGTGAGGTAATTGAGTTTAATAAGCCAATTATGTATTCTTAGTAATATGCTTTTACATGCACATGCATTTGTATTACTTGTTGGTAAAGTTCCTCTTCTGTCCTTTACTGTTGGCTTTTGCGGGAGGCATATTACCTTGTTTAGTCATTTATTTAGTGATTTTTTTTTACTACAATTTATGCATTTGTGGCCAAGTTTTGTTGATTTCAATCTCCTATGTCCTTTTAGTGGATTTCTAGAAGATTACTTATGAAGGGGTGATGGCTTTGTTGTGTTGTATTTTCCTGTTACTAAATTGTCTCATATATATATAAAATTATAATTATTTTTTGGTTGATCCAAGGGCTAGAGCTGAGGGATTGGATACTGTTCCTGAACTTTTGTGCTCAAGGCTAGTTAGTGCTCTATCACCTTGACCCACAGCATACTTCTGGCGTTTTGGTGATTAATTAGAGATAAGAGTCTCACAAACTTCCCTGCCTGGGTTGACTTCCAACTGTGATCCTCAGATTTTAGCCTCCTGAGTTGCTAGGAATACAGGTATGAGCCACCAGAACCCTACTAAGTTGTCAAATAATTTTAATGCTCTTCTCTACTCAAAGTGTGGAAACTATGTTTTTTTTGACAGTCCTGGAGCTTAAACTCAGGGCCCGGACACTGTCCCTGAGCTTCTTCTTGCTCAAGGCTAGCACTTTACCACTTGAGCCACAGGGACACTTTCAATTTTTTCTGTTTATGTGGTACTAAGGAATTGAGCCTAGGACTTCAGGCTTGCTAGGCAAGCATTCTACAGCTAAGCCACATTCCCAGCCCCATGCTGTGAAAACTTAAATACAAAAGATACCACAGTTGATGAACTATGACCAATCCATAATCAAGACTAGTTATCACCACTAGATGTAAAAATGTATCTTTGTGATCTGGGGAGATAGTTAAACCATGGTGGTAATAGGAGGAGATAGTAGGGATGACACGTGGAAGGGGAGGTGTGAAACTAATTGTGATTGGAGTGATTAAAGAGAAAGTGGATTGAAGTAATTAGAAAAGACAGTTTAACTTTATGATGGCAAAAAGAAAACAGAAATGAAGAAAATTGGGTAGTAAACACGGAAACAACAAAAATACAAAACAACTAATACAAAACAAAAACTAGGGCTGGGAAGTTGGCTCAGTGGTAGAGCACTTGCCTTGCATGCCTGAGGCCCTGGGTTCAATTCCTCAGCACCACATAAGCAAAAAGAAAAAAAAGCCAGAAGTGGCGCTGTGGCTCAAGTGGCAGAGTGCTAGCCTTGAGCTGAAGAGCTGAGGGACAGTGCTCAGGCCCAGAGTTCAGGCCCCACAACTGGACCAAAAACAAACAAACAAAAAAAAAAACCCAAAAACTAATAATACTCTGGCAATTCTGTTCCCAGCTAAGAATATAGGTAATGAGGAAGAAATAAGGGATGGAGGAATATCCAAAGAAGTAAATACGAGTAAACAAGAAGTTCTACTTGTAGGTAGAAAGAAAATATAAATGGGAAAAGATTATAGAAAAGGACTAAAAAAAAATTTAAAACTAAGTACTGAAAGACAGATGCAATAGTTTGGATATTAAGACCACAGAGAAGAGAAAGTAGTCTTAATATCCAAAACATAACATCTGTCTTTCAGTACTCAGTTTTAAATATTATCCTTGAGTATTTTTGCTCAAGATTATTGCTGTAACACATGAGTCACATCTCAATTTCTGGGTTTTGGTTATTAATTGGAGATATGAATCTCATAGGCTTTCTTGCCTGGTCTGGCTTCCAACTGTAATCTTCAAATTTCAACCTATTGAGAAGCTAGGATTATAGGTCTGAACCACTGGCACTAGATTCCCTCTATTTATTTTTCATACTATTTGCATACTATGTCTTTTTTTCTAATTACAGTATAATGGAAGTATAATTAATTTGTCATACGATTTAGCTATTTAAGGCATTCAGTGAGTTATACACTGTTAATCACAATTTTAGAATATTTTCATCATCCCCAGAAAAATCTCATACTTATCATATGGACCTCAAGTATAAAATAAATTCTCTACTTTTCTTATTATAGCAAATAATTATTTCACAAATACATTGGGCACCAGTGGCTCACGCTTATAATTCTAGCTACTCAGGAGGCTGAGATCTGAGTATTGCAGTTCAAAACCTGCCCGGGCAAGAAAGTTCATGACTCTTATCTCCAATGAACCACCAGAAAACCAGAAGTGGCGCTGTGGTTCAAGTGGTAGAGAGCTCGCCTTGAGCTGAAGAGCTCACCATCAGCACTCAGGGCCAGAGTTCAAGCCCCACAAACAAACCAAAAAAAGAAAAAAGAAAAGAAAACTAGTGATAAATATATCTACCTCTGCATTTAAAACAATTTTTAATTTATTATTATTATTTTTATAAAGGTAATGTATAGAGGGGTTACATTTACATGAGTCAGGTAAAGAGTACATTTCTTTTTTGGACAATGTCATCCCTAGCTCTGCATTTTACATCAGAAACCTGTGCCCACTGTCAGGACTACTGAGTCATTTTTAAGGCAATTTTCATGAAAATCATACCAATCATAGACATGTTTGGTAACTTGTCCTTTTTACCATTGTTTTCAAGCCTTGACAATTGGAGATAACTTTTTATTTTCAAAGGGGGTTATCATGTGTCATGTTGAGTTACCCCTTTGTATCCATAAAAGATATTATGCTATTCATACTATATCATTCCTGTGATAAGACCTGCCAGTGTCAAGTTTCTGATTTTTCTGTTCATGATTCCATAGATACTTTTGCGGAAGAGTTAAGATAGTAGACCTGAAGGTGATCCCTAGAAAAGACTGCTTGGAGAAATTGATTGTTGGTTGCCAGATTGGATTTTAGAAAAATTTTTAAAGGATTTTGACTGGTAGAGTTAGGAATGGCTTAGTCTTCCATGAAAGTATAAGAATTGCACAGAGATTTAAGTCAATATCTCAAGGAGCCAGAAAAAAAGTTGTAGTGTATACTTAAAAAAAGACCTGCCTAAGAAGTTAGGTCTTTGGTTGGCATTAGAAACTAGACTTTCAAGCAGACTTTTACCTCTCCCTAATTGATTAGGAGGTCTTCTGGGAGTCTGTTTTGTCCTAAGCAGACAATGTCTACCTGACCAGCCCTTAATAAAAATCCCAAGGAACAGTCTTTAGTAAGCTTCTTTGGAAGATAGCATTTCATACACATTACTATACATACACACATACATATTACTAAAGGAAGTGGTATTTCTTATGTGACTTCATAGGAAAAAAAAACCTTGAAATCTAGCATCTGGTTTCTTCTAGACATGGTGCATGTGACTTTCCCTCTACTGATTTTCCTTAGTATCCTGCTGTATTAAATCTTAACCAGGAGTTAAACTGAGTTGTGAGTTCTCCCAGAAATCAAGGCTATGAGGAATCATGGCTGTGGGTTAGATTGGTTCATGATTTTTTAAAAAATGAATTTATAATAGTAACTTTTGAAATTACATTTGTGATTTTTATAGGAAAGTTAAAATGAAATTAATTTTACCTCTCTGTCACTGTAGAGAAGTAACTGAAGTTCGTGAAGTCCCCAGAAAATCAGTTCCTCGCAATTCCTTAGAAAGTGCTGAATATGTTAAAGTCATTACAGGTTTATTAAGTGCAAAAGATTTTCGTGATCGTATTAATGGGATTAAGCAGCTTTTATCAGATACTGAAAATAATCAAGAGCTTGTTGTTGGAAACATTGTAAAGGTAAGGACCAGTCAAAATCAATTTTTATTTAAATTTTATGGTCAGTAATAAGTTCACTGGTTAAAACTTAACTCTGAGGGACTGGAGGTATAGTCTAGTGGTAGTACACTACCTAACCCTATTAGCATGGTGAAAGGGAAAAAAGTGAAATTTTATCTCTAATTTTTCTGTGAAATTAAAACTGAAATTAAGTCTCATATACCATAAAATGTATGTGTATAGACACAAAAATGGAAATTTTTTAAATTCTTACTGGCTAACTCACACCTTGTAGGAAATGGAGCACATTATATTTGTAATAAGTCAGTCATTTGCCTACTAATCTACATTTGCAATCTTAATTTTGGATGTCTTTTGGGATAGTTTTTGAAACCCTGTCTTTTTGCTGTAAATGCATTCCATATTTAAGTTTAACAATGTACAACATTCTTATTGTCTTAAGTCCAAGATAAATAAGATGTTATATATAAGAGCTTAAATAGAATAAAGTAGCTGTACACTGGTGGCTCACGCCTGTAATCCTATCTACTCAGGAAGGTAAGATCTAAAGAAATGTACTCATTATCTTGTCCATATAATTGTAACCCCTCTGTACAGTATTTTCACAATAAATAGAGAGAGAGAGGGGGGAAAAAAAAAGAATGTGGTTCAAAACAAGTCCAGGCAGGAAAGTCTTTGGGACCCTTATCTCCAGTTAATCACCAGAAAACCGGAGCTGAGGCTCTAAGTGGTAAGAGTACTACCTACCCTTGAGCAAAAAAGCTCAAGCATAGCACTTGGGTTCTGACTTCAAGCCCCACAGTGGGCAATAAATAAATAATAAATAGAATAAGTAGGGAAAATAGTATGAACTAGCAAGAGAATTTAAATATAACAATATAAATACTTTAATTTCAATAACTTTCCAATTTACTTTCAGATCTTTGATGCTTTTAAATCTCGACTTCATGATTCTAATAGTAAAGTAAATCTGGTGGCTCTAGAAACAATGCATAAAATGATTCCTTTACTTAGAGACAACCTATCTCCTATAATCAACATGCTAATTCCAGCAATAGTGGATAACAATCTGAATTCTAAGAATCCAGGCATCTATGCTGCTGCTACAAATGTTATTCAAGCATTGAGTCAACACGTAGGTAAGGAGTCTTATTTTGGTATTCAAATTAGTTGGATCTTCTACATACTTCATACTTTTTACATATTTACTTCATATTTTCTATATATGTCTATAATCCTAAAATCATAGTTATTCATGTTTTTTCCATTTCATAATTTTTCCTTTTTTTCAATAGTATGTGAAATTATTTTCATTCACTAAATTTTGTCCTATTAAACGGATTTTCTTCTCACTTTAAGTTTTAATTCATTTTTCCTACATCAATCTCAATCTGATCATAAATTTATATGTAAAACGTGACAGTAATTCTTTTAGAATAGAACATGGGCAAATCTTCAGGACCTTGATGTCTAGTGAAACTTTAGGCATGATGTTGAAAGCATGATCCATGGAAGTTAATAAATTAGACTTTAGTGTTTTAAATTGATTTGCAAAAGATTCTATTATCCTAAGAACTACCAACTGAGAGAAAATATTTGTAAACCATGTATCAAAGAACTCATCTTTAGTATATATAAAAAACTGAAATTTCAGCATCAAAACAAGTAATTCAGGGCTGGGAGGATAATCCCAGCTATTAAGGGACATAGGTAAGAGGATTAGGTTATCTAAGGCCAGCCAGGCATAAAGGATGAGACTGAAACCTAACTAAAAGTTTAGAAGGATGGCTCAACTTGTAGAATACATGAAGACCTGTGTTCCAGATTCCAGTACCACCAAGAAAGAAAGAAAACATCATGCAATTAGAAAACAGGCATGAAGGAACATTTTACTGAGGAGGATATATATATATATATCACCACTAGTCAAATATCACAATGGTTAAAATAAAGCTGTGATAATACCATGTGCTATTAGGTTGCAGAAAAACTTTCATACATTTCTACTGAGAATGTAAATAAAATGGCATAGCCATTTCAGAGTGACATTTTCTTTAAAAAGTAAAACAATACTTAGCATATAAGGTACTAGTTGTAGTACTAGGAAATGATCACAAATAAAACAAGACCATACAAGAACCTGTATGTAATTATTCACAGCAGATTTTTTTTTTTTTTGGTCAGTTGTGGGGCTTGAACTCTGGGCCTGGGTGCTCTCCCTGAGCTCTTATGCTCGAAGTAAGCACTCTATGACTTGAGCCACAGTATACTTCCAGTTTTCTGGCAGTTAATTTGATTTGTTTTTGTTTTTGTTGGTCGTGGGGCTTGAACTCTGGGCCTGGACGCTGTCCCTCAGCTCTTCAGCTCAAGGCGAGTGCCCTACCACTTGAGCTACAGCGCCACTTCCGGTTTTCTGGTGGTTTATTGGAGATAGGAGTCTCACGGTCTCTCCTGCCCGGGCTGGCTTTGAACCGCG